AAGAATTCTCGATCATTATTGAAATCTTATGAAAGACAACAGGAAAAAATTTGATTAGTACAAATAATTTCCGAAAAATATTCATTGTACCACTTCCCTGAGTTTCTACACGGTATAGTACAATCTAGCTACAAATACTATAAACCTGATAGCTAGTATATCTTTTATCATTGTGGCCACTATTGAATGTTATGGATATCAATAACCTAATTGCAACTGGGTTGTTATTGTAATTTTCTTGAAGGCGGTAAAGAAATACACTTGAAATAAATTATATCTCTGAAATGATTTTAAATGACCAAGCCATGAAACGTCGTCAACTTTGGTAAGCCTTCATATGGACATACACTTCACTCGTACTGACTTTTTTCCTGTCCTTTCGTTACCAGTCGTCGCAGTTTGAAACATTATGATGAGGTAAAACTAAAAGTAGACTACTTTCAGCAAGGAGTAAGATATCATTTTGTGTCAAAAAAGAGGCATAGAATGGGAAAACAATCTCGCATATTGGAGTGAAAAATGACACTTCCGAGACAAAAAGCACACGAATTACACACTACTAACACTTTTAATAAGAGAATTTATATTTTCTAACGTGTCATTGAAATAAAGCAGTTAAGCTTTCATTACGAGGATTTTAAAGGTATTGTGTTCCACTTTTGTGCTTCGAATGTTTTAATTGCTCCAAGCTTTTTCTTCAAAAGTTCTGAGACTTGAAGACTGTTTGTCGTTCCTTTTTTCTGCGAATAATATGTTTAAATTATTGTCAGAGTCATAGACAAATTTCAGGCATTGCTGCAGAATTCAAGGACTATGTGAAGACAAAACTGATGACAGACGTGGCTGCCAACACGGCACGTGGTTGTCTCATTTCTAACTCGCGAAAAGAGCGTAAGTAAAGTCAGCTTACAAAAGCATTCATTGCTTCTTGGGTGTCTCTCAAGGAAGTGCTTGAAACAGGTGTCTTCATGAGCCTTCTTTGTGACTAAGCAATGCTAAAGTACGTCGACGTAAATTTTGGATTCAGGTTACAAAAACTTCTAAGGAAGCTTGAGATGTAATGCCTCGCCCAAGTGCCTTCTTCCGCTGGGCCTGCGTTTGATCCCCGCCAATCCCCATAGAATGTGTGGTAAGCAGACTTTTTGGGACTTCTTTTGTTTCCCCTATTCAATCTCCATAAGTTCTCCACCGCCGTTCCCCTCCATGGCCTTGGTCATTCACCGGCCACTAAACACAAAAAATAAACAACACGCATGCAGTTTGCTGCTAAAAACGTGATCGATTATTGTGTGTAACGGCAAAACATTTTAACTATTGAACAATTATAATATGGGCGTGTTAAAACTCAACATGAGAACCGCATTTTCTTTGAATATGGAACAGTTCTTGCATTACTGATTAATGCACTGCAAATTCATCTACGTATTTTTATACCGATTTCTAAGAGAATGATTGTGCAAAGGAAGAGTTAACGAAACACACTATCTGAGCAATTCTCATCATATATTATATACACTAATCTTATTATATTAAGTGAAGGAAAACATTATCGTTCCAAACTCAGAAAGACAAACTACAATCTCAGATCTCTTTTTGTTGATAGATTCTAGTAAAGAACACAGAATTAAAACCATGAGAAAGAACATTTATGTACATAATTTGTTCATAGGCAACGGACAAATTTAATGTGACTACTAAACAAACCTCTCTAAATACAACCTAGAGTACATCTACACGTTCTTACTAGCAGCGCGTCGGAGCTTTGCATTTAAATGCCATCGCGGGGGCTTCAGGCAGTGCCTCGGTGATGGGAGACAGTGCAGTGCAATGCAACGCAATGCAATGCAATGCAATGCAATCAAGTGGTGCAAGTTGTACAACGCGTCACTCTTGCGAATTGCCAGAGTGTATTGGATATGAGGAAACTCAAAAGTTTTCAGTGAATGTCAATACCAACCAAGCCAGCAAAAACGCACTTCTTCAGTAATTCGATCCCTAGTGAAATGAAAATGGAATGATAAATATTGAGAACTGCATTAAAATCGAATTCTTAAAGTTGTTCTTTCAGAATATTGAATTGATTGAAGTAAATTAACACGAGTGGATAAGTCGAAAGTGAGGAAAATGAAAATAATTCTAGATATTGAGAAATTATTTGACTGTTAGTTATTCCTGGCGCGTGCTACAAGGGTTACTATTCCCGTAAGTGTATTGCGTGTTTTTTGTCGGGAAGTCCTCCCCCCGCTCAATGGCGAGATCCGGCGACGACCTACCGTCTAGCGGGGTTTTTCTCAACCAAGTGTCTCCCCCCTGCGTGGCACCGCCCCAGACTGGACAAGCTCTATGCTCACGATTGCTCTCCCGATGTGTGTGGTAGAGAAGTGCATGTAAGTGTAAGTGTGTGTGTAAGGAGTGAGGATAGGGCAAGGAAGTGGTAGGAAAGATCGCGCGCGGGCCGTTGCCCGTGTGTTAGGGTAATGCTCCGGCATTTGTCTGTTGATCAGAGAAACCAGAAAAAACTACCGTTCTGAGCAGCCGACAGCCGGCCGCTGGAATTCTCCTTCACACAGAGACTGAATTTGACGACCTAGCTGACAAGCCTAGCAAATCCTGCCACCGTCAGAACTCGAACCTAGGACCTCCCGGTCAGACGGACTGCAGTGACATCACCTGATACCCTGAGCTATCTCTCCTGGTTTGAGAAATTGAGACAGATCGCGTTTCTACAGTCTACTTTTGAAGAGATTAGCTGAATGAATGATGATACTTGAAAGTTGTCTAATTTTCAAGTATCAAAAAGCGAAACAAAATCCATGACATTTTAATGCCTCAAGCATCTAATACGACCTTTCTGCTTCTTTACAGAGAGGAACCCAGTCAACTAACATCCTCTGTTGCATCACCGTACACATTTTTCAGTCTTGACGGAATGCGAAAGATCATTTCACCTTCTGCATTAACGAATTCAATCACACAACGCGATCTCTTACGAACATTGATGTCGGCCCCTTTTCAAACGACTGCTGTTCTGCCAATAGTTAACGCAGAAAGTTACTAGTGCGGTGGATTGTAGAAGAAGGTTTGAGGAATAGTGCGAAATTGGAATTTTCACTTAACGAATTTTATTTAAGTAGAAAAAACAGGAGGCATTACTTTCTGACTGTCTCTTGTAAAAACAGCCCACACCAATTATGGAGCTGACATTCTAAAAGAATATGTGCGAACAGGAGAGTATACAGTTTCCTTTTACAACAGATTAATACAAGTAACAGCAATGTGTTGAAATCTTATCAGTTTCAAAATCAGTGCGTTATATTAACACGTGTATGATTTTAAATCATGAACTTACAAGGCACGTTGTTGTTGATTTTTTTTTGTTCATAATTCCTCCGTTCGTCGAAAATCGCCCCGTCTATAGTTTATACTTCTACTGACAAACCTGATGTGTATAAATTCTTGGCTATCCGGGAGACGCCGCTTGGTTGGGCTTCGACTTCACTCGACCTCCATACTACTCGTGCCTCCGTTCTACTCCAGCAGCGCGGTCCAGGTGGACTAAATACGAGCGGCGAAACTGTTTCGCCGAGTAAGCGCCCGCCGAAGTGCGGTTTCCTCGGGCGAAGGGGGCGTGGGCTTTCGAGCGGCGGCGAGCGGCGGCGAGCGAGGGCCCGTTGGCGTCTTTTTGCTCCCCGCCCGCTCCGCCGCGCCCCACTGGCGGAAGAGGCTGCCCGCCGCCGGCGCTCGCAGCGCCTCCGCGTCAAGAAACTGCACGCCGTTACTCGGTTACAGGTTCTTACAGTGAAGTCTTCGGCACTCGGCGTCGCTTCATCTGGGTATTCAGAACGTTCTTGCGACAATCTAAATTCTATTCTAAGCTTTTTAAGCAAACGTAGGCATGAAGAAGCACCTTTACGTTTCAAAAATATGAACTAAGATTACGGTTCTAAGGATAATTTTAGATTTTCCTAGATTTTACACTCTTCTATTTCTATTTTATTGCAAAGTATAAAGCAATTAGTAAGCCAGTACAACGTATAATTTATTTGGGTCATAGGAAGTAAGCCACTTTCTTTTGATAGATGCTCTCATCGCTATTTTATATATGTTAAGGAAGGGCCTAATTCAGTTTTTCTTAAAAGTATTGTTATTTTGATCATTAAAACAAAACGTAATATATAAGTTGTTGAATTAAATTAATTTTTTTTATTAAATTTATTACCTTTGAATGGTGCTAATACTATTGTAATGCAAGTATGTTAAATGTTTTTGTTAGTTTTAATTTTTTTTGTAATTACGTTTTTGTGTTTTTGAGTAACTGTGTTCTTATTGCTTTCATTCATTGTTCAGTATTTCCATAATTGTGTCCTGGTGTATAACTGAGGTAAGGAGCAATAAATAATAATAATAATTCTTATTAGCATTATCATTATTATTATATTAATATTAAATCAGTTCCTGAACACAACATATTTCACCAAAGGAGCAGATGATATATTTTAAATTTTACAATTCGATTTTGGAGCATCCTCGAATTCAGTTTTTAAACTATTTGAAAAGTAATTTGGAAGTTCGAGACAAAAAATAATGTTGAATTATCGAACTCTGTATTAAGATATATCATGTAACTATTTATGAAAGGAACGTTTTTAATAATTTTCTTGACATAGTTTCATTGAATGACCAGACCTTAGTATTTGTCAGAGAAATATTGATATGGTATGTCCCAAAGTGGGAAATGTTTCATAATCGGGTACGCCCAAGAACGATATGAGTTCCAAAAATAAATTGCATATCATTAAAATACTGTAGATTTTCTTCAGTATTTATAATATTCACTTATTCATAATAATTAACAATGTCACTCGTGGAATATGTAGGGAGGGTTCGCATTGATTTGCATATGCTTTCATTTAAGTGGCAAATACGAGTTATTACAAACTCAGTAACAACGTAAAACCAGCATCAGTAGGTTGAGGCCAAAGGTAACGTTACGGTCGACTTTACGGGTGATTGGGAGGTGGGCGGTTCCCACTGCGAATGCTTTTTTGCGTGATGTTTGAAGCATCAGCAGCAGCAAGTTGTGGTCGCCTGCAGTTTAAGTAGCAGGTTGGGGCCGTCAACAGGATTCCAATTGTCGCAGGTCGCCGGTTTTGAAAAGTTATTTCCGTAATTTTTCCGGTCACTTTCCTGCGAAAGCCACACCAGCACTCTACCCGAACGCGCCCCAGACCGCACGCGATCGCGCTTACCCTGACCCCCGCCGGGGGGCAGGGGCGCCCTGAACCCTTCTCATCCGGCCCACGCGCCGTCGGAGTAAAGGCCAACACCCCGCAGTGGAGTAAATAAGGCTTATAAATTATAATCATAAAAAACAGAACGCAAGAGTGTGAGAACATCCCATCTGAGTTTGAGCAACTGAAAACTAAACTAGTGGCACTACAGACTCTCGAACTACCAAGTTTGATAATCTCCTTCGTCGGGGTTAGCTTTTCGGTTTTGCCTCCATCCTCTTCACTGCTGCTACCTATCGGCGTCTAAAGCATTTTTTCACATTTTTTTTTCAATTTTTAGGACCCCCTATATCAGAATAGAACTTGTGGTGCTACAACAGCACGTTCTTTGGCACATTATTTGCTAACTTTTGCAGTTTTTGAAAATTCAGAGAATTCAACGATAATGGAACCTATTCCGTTTGTTACATCAATTGCTCTACTCATCAATTGCTTATTCACAAATTTTGATGTTTGATGAGGCAGACGCATATACCATTTAAAACAGGGAAAATACATTAACTAACCACAAAATTATAACTAAGAACGATTTACAATGATGAGCGCAAAATACTTTCATCACTCATTGCGAGCTGCTAGCGTTTTTCATGTACATTTCTGAACCACTTACACCTTAGCGAATTCTCTTTCGGAAATTTAAATGTTGATGTTGGTATGAGATGCTCTGTAATATTTTCGTTAGCAACCAAAAGCACCTCACAAACCCATTTACGTTATAAAACGATTCCAACTATTGCTCTTGAAGTACAATCACTATGTAAGTAGTATACTATGAGGACAAATATTCCATTCTATATTATTCTTTCGATATTCCACATCTGAACTACTTTAATCAGTAAAATTAATATCTGAAACTTGATTTTCAATGGCTGCTATATTCATACATTTGATCTCATAAAAACAAACACATTGTTCAACCAATCTTCTTGGCATGAGAATTCCGGTCACACCACAACACCTATATGAGAATTCCGGTCAAAACTTCAATGCGCAGACACAAAAATTTCCATTTTTTTAAACAATTTTCAACCTCTGGACAAAATATTTTTTTACAAAATGTATATTGTATAGTATAATTTGAAAACCATTAATATTCTTCAATTTCACTTCATCTTGTAATGAGTAACGTAAACCGTGAGTGATTTCATTAATATTTTCAACATTTAGAGAGGCTTTGCAGTAACAGAAATGCAAAACGACGCCGCATAACATGGTTTTCCAAAAAACAGAACGCACAATATTCCAGAAGAACAAATAAAATACTCTCAAATTACACTACAATGAATTAAATATTTTAATAAAAATAATCCATGGCTACTCTAATAACATAGTATAGTGTATATAGATACCCTATAAAAATTCTTTACACACCAAGAATATAAAAAATGCTACTCCATAATGCAACATGAATAGCAAATATTTAATGGCCAACGACGGTTCTCCCCCCACCCCCGCAATATAACAATTGTGTTTGGTGATACAAATGTTATGATATTAGAATTGAATTGCATGTATACAGTTCATTAATTGTATCTTTAATTGACATTGATATTTTTCTTTTCTAGTTTCTCAAAATTACACTGTAATGACGAGTGAGGCCAGAAAAACGTAAAGAAACGCTCAAAGCACATTCAATTTTTACCTCACCTGAAACGCGAATGTTTTCTTTAAACATTTTACTAAATACAAAAGGTTTTACGAGAAAAGAACTAAGAAACACTTTTCCTCGTTGTATAAAACGAACAAACGTAACACTCATTATGTCATTTATGGAAGGGACATTACATAAATGATATATTAGCACAAAAAGGGAACAACACTGTTTTTCCTTACAATACTGCCACCGAAGTATTCCACAGGAAAAGCCACATGTAAGCAGCATTACAACACCAAGCACAAGGTTCACGCTCAGTGAGCAAACGTCTACCTGGACGAAGGGTCACTCAACTCCGACTCACCTGAGAGAGTGAGCGTAGTCCCCGCCGACGCCTCGCGCAAATCCCAAAGCACCACTTCGCACACGTGCGCACTTGGGCGGCGTCGACGGCGGCGGCGGCGGCAGCTCCGAGCGACGAGCTAGCGAGCCTCCCAGCTGGCGGCGCGCGCGGGCACTGACAGCGCCCGGGCGGCCAGCGCGCGCCTTCCGCCATGCCGCCCCGGCCCCCGCCGCCGCAACCGCCTGACCTTGCCGCAGATCGCAGCACCTTCGAGGCTGGTGCGGGGCCGCGGAAGTTCTTCCTACCTTTCTTTTGTGATGGAGGAACCACTGGGAGGATGGCAAGGAGATGCACATCTGAATGGTTTATCGTGAATTATGTTTTTCGCGGACCCTCGGCGTTGGCTTAGAGCTGCGGAAGGTCTTCCTAATTTTCTTTGTGTTTGAGGAACAACTCGAAGACACCGGGGTGGTATCAAGATGCGGCATTTGAAAGATTAATCACAAGTTCCTTTTTTCTTCTTTTTGTTGTTGCTAAAAGGTCATACTAGTTTCTTCGTAACGTTATTCCAAAAAGTATTAAAGAGACATCGCTCCTGTATTGATGATGATGATGATGATGAGATTATTTCGTTACAGCTTGGAGGAAAGGAATCAGTATTTGCAGTTGGAATAAAACAACCCTCAAAATGACTTCACTTACAGTAAAAAATGTAAATCGAAAAAATTATTCAAAGTATTTTTAAACCTGGGTGTTTTTAAAAAACCTCTGCTAACCTAACTTTTTAAACCTCATCTTCTATTCTCTAACTTCTTAAAAGCACAAACGTTAGACATATTCGAAATTGCCAAAAAGAATTCACAGCTGTTTGGGTAAGATTAATTAATTGATTTACACTGAATAGCCAAAAAACTATTACAACCATGCGTATTGAAATATCTGGAATCAATGAGAATTCGGCGCTCCGGTGGAGAACGCCTATATAAGACCACCAGTATGGCACAGTTGTTACATCGGTTACTGCTGCTACAATGTCAGGTTATCACAATTTAAGTGAGTGTCATTATTAAGAACGTGGTGTTATAGACAGTGCAAGAAAGATGGGGTATGGCTTCTCCTAGGTCACGATGAAATTTGGATTTCCCGTACGACCATTTCACGCGTGTACCGTGAATATCGAGAATCCGGTAAAACATCAATTCTCCGGTTTCGCTGCGGCCGCAAAAAGATCGTGCAAGGACGGGACCCGCGACGACTGAGGAAAATCGATACACGTGACAGAAGTGCAACTCTTCAGCAAATTGCTGCAGTCATCAATAAGTGCCAATGTGCGAACCATTCAACGAGACAATATGGATATGGGGTTTGGGAGCCGAAGGCTTACTCAAATACCCTTGATGACTGAACGTCACAAAGCTTTACGCCTCGCCTACGCCTCGCCACACGAACATTGGACTGTTGATGACTGGACTCAAGCTGCCTAGTATGCTAAGTCTTCTTTCTCATTGTTTCCAGCGCATGGACGTGTACGAGTATGGCAACAACATCATGAATCCATGCACCCTGCAGAACTACAAGGGACTGTTCAAGCGGGAGGAGGCACGGTATAGTAGGGGGCGTGTGCAGTTGGAGTGATATGGGACCCCTGATACGTCTAGATAATGACTGACAGGTGGCACTATGTAAGCATTTCTGCCTGATCACTGCACCCATCCATGTCCTTTGTGCCAACCCGATGGACATGGGTAATTCCAGAAGACAATCGGCAGCCCACACGTCCAGAATTGCTACAGAGTGGCTCCAGGAACACTTCAGAATTTAAACATTCTATGGCAACTAAAATCCGCAGACATGATCATTATTGAGCATATATAGGATGCCTGCAACGTGCTGTTGAGAAGAGAATGTCCACCCCCTTCGAACCTCTTACGAGTTTTATCGATAGCCCTTGCAGGATTGATAGTTCAAGTTCCTCCAGCACTTCTTTAACATACTCGAGTCCATACTACATCGTGTTGCGGACGTTTGCTTGCTTTCAGGCCCACACACGATTATCTTGGCAGATGTACCAGTTGTTTGGCTCCTCAGTGTATTATTGTTCCGGCCGCAGCCGGCGGTACGGACGTTACGTTCCACCTGTGAGAATCGCGGTTCAACTAGCTTTTCGATCTAGAGAATTTGTTACGCGACAAAGGGAATTCGCAAAGGTTCGCCGTTTCCCTTGCCTCGCCTCTCCCTTGCTCGAATAATGTGCACTTTGTTCATTCTTTTTAAAATGTGGGAGTGGATGGATGTGTACATTCTTAAATTTTTTGTGTCTCGCATTTCATGTTGAGAGCATCAGAAGTTTAATGTCTGAATGCCTCTGTTTTCCATTCTTCAGTCAGATTTAATTGACCTGCTCATTAGTGGGCCATCAAGATGACTAACTACTTACTTTCGCATCCGGACTATTGGCATCGTGCGAGAGCTTCCATTTGTTGGAAGCCTCTTTCCTCATCCTTTTCGCTCGCACACAAATCCTATCAACTCGGGCTCGAGACCATCTGGCCATTGCACTCGAGGTGGGCACATGATGCAGTTGTAAGCAAACTTCCTAATTTTTCGTTAATGATTTCGTATTTCTTGCTCATTATTATTATTTTTATTATTATTATTATATTATTATTATTATTATTATAATGCGAGGGTTATACAATGCTGCTCAACATGAGTAAAATGTGACACATTTTCTCAATAATGTATTTATTAAAAAAATGTTTCGCATGCATTGCGGTCATCTTCAGAGCAAACGTTTGGAAACAACGGGCAGTTTATCTACCTGCATCACATCCGCATCCCTGTTGCGCTTTTGTAATGACGATAGCCGCAGTTCATCTCAGACAAGTGATATTTGATTTGATTGGATTTATTTAGTCAAACAACAGTAAAATTGAATGCGACGTAAGAGGGAGATGATCTGCGCACTTTTTCTTGAGTTCCGAAATCCCTTCCCAACATTTTAACTATAAATAGTTTAAAGATGAATTAAAACTGTTAAAATCAAACAAATAAAATAAATATAAGTAAAAGTTTTAAAAATCACGAGATTGTCAACATTTGAAAAACTAGATTTTTTCGTTCTTGAATTAAAAGAAAACCTTATTTGCTATAGTAAACGAACTGCAGCTTTGATTTTTCTGCACTGCTAACAAAAAAACTCACCCTCAGCTCTACTCCTACCACTACAAGCAAGACGAGAGTTCAACAAAAACGTGCGCACAGTGAAACTTCATAGTAACGTTACAACAGAACATATGAATCAATGCAAACAAAAAGGTTCGTTGTCAAATTTTGCCGGTTTTGAGATAAAGGTGGGAAATTGATCTTAAAATATAAATTCAACTTTCTATGCCTACAAGTTCGTTGTCCGTGAACACTGTGACGTCTGTAGTGTGCCTTTCAACTATTGATGTTAAGAAAAAACGATCGATGTCCGGAACGTAGAACCTTTTTGGTTGCTCTTCAAAATGTGAAGCTCTTGGATATCCAACGTCTTTGTTGTCTCCGATTAATATTTATAACGTTCGTAATTTTCAAAAACGCAGAGAGTTCGCTAAAAATGGGACAAACACAATTTTTTTGTTATCCTCTGCTATACATACGTGAAAAAATTAAAGGCGTTTTTGAGAAAATAATTGTTTGAAATTGTCTATACTTCACGAAAAATTATGCGAAGACTTCTCTCAATTTTGAAAAATTGTACATGATCTTACTTCAATATCAATTTTTGAACAACAGATTTTACCCAGAAAAAATCTGTGTCTTCAAAATTGTAGGAAAATGCCGAAAAGAAATTGAACTTTTGTAACTTTCAAAAAAACGAGGATTTCAATGAAAAGGAGTTCTGCGCCACCATTTTCAGCGTCTTTTACCAAAGGTCACGACAATCGGAGGTTAACGGTACAGGTGCCAGCGTTGATTACTGGCGCCAGACGGACGGAGAGACAGACGTTTTGTGTCAATCGATTTTTCAGTATCAATGACCCACAAAGCACGGATTCTGACTACACAGCATATTAGAAATAATTTACTATGTGCAAGAACAAGATTAACATACTTTTTCGTTACCAGATAATACGAGCTTTTCTGTCAAAACATCGCGTACTTCTGCCGCACAATTACAATACTATCTCTTCTTATTAAGGCGAGAGAATAAAAACATTTGCATTAATAAACGTATTTATTATTATTCATTAACTATTATACGAAACTGATCTTAATTAATAAATATTAACTAAATACGCTTTTATTTCCCTTCCCAAACATGAGTCGTGTTTTTCTTAGGGAAATCTTAGAGAAAGGTTTGGCCAGAAATACACCTTCATTCGCTGATCACAAGAGGCAATCTGTTTATTGCAAGTAGAAGTACATTAATCATTAATGCAAATGCCCAGTTAAATCCAACATTAACTAGCGCAATAGATTTATTTTCTTCAGCGATGAACTTCCTGGAGTATTGGGCATTTATTGCCTCATTCTCCATTTATGATTTATAATCTTCATAAAATAGGTCAAGCCATGTTATTGGCTGAATCACTTCATTCTTACGAGACAGTCCTAGGAAAAATGCATTTTTTTCTAAATATTCCCATAATTTCTCGGGGAGAATTGGAATTATATCCAAGACACTAAAGAAGGAAATTTCGAAAAATGTGTTCGTCGCTAATCGCTCCCAAGGATGTATTCTGGTGCAAATTATATTTTTAAGAATAGTCGTAAAAGATAAGAGTCTTATCCCGAATACTCAAATATCCAAAAACCTAAACAGGTTATATCTTGGTTCTTTCACACAAAAGCTTTTGGACAGTATTTACTCCTCTCTGGTATCTCTAGCTGGTTAATCAGAATTTCATATCACTAAACCTTTGGTATACCCTCAACAAACAGCCCTCGTCTACCAAAGGACTATCCGTCAATGTTATATTTTTTAATTTAAAAAAGCTGATTAAAAGTAATTTGTTTTGAATTTCTGAAATATTTAATTCTGGTCTTTAGCTTCCTCATGTATAAAACAAAAGTTATCGTAAGTAGTGGCACGAATGATTGGGACATTTCTAAACCACAAGTGATATTTAGTACAATTTCTCGGATAAAAGCATTAATAAGCTCAAATAAAAGTATTAAAAACAAATAAGTTAAGTATTAAAAAATGGAAAAATAATAAAACCAAAAAAGAAACAACTTGTGCTCGTCGTATACCAATAACTGATTAAATACTTACAACCACTGGCTTCTGGAATCATTTAATTAAAGTCCAAGGACGGCAAAACGTCTGTCCGTCTTTAACAACGCTAGTGGCTAATACGTGCAGTCGATTTTCCTCGAAATTGTTATTCTCCAATCAATCTGGCTTATGTGATTGATATTTTAAATTTGGGGGATACTTTACATGAAATCCCTGGGACATTTTCCAAATTTTCAAAAAAAAATGGTTCCATCGTTTTTATGAAATTTTGTTGTTGGATAGTCTAAAGAATTTTTAAAAGAATTGTGCAAGTGTCATGTTCATTATAAACTCTGATTTTTCGAATATTTTCAAAAGTGCAAAATTGTTTCGCAGTCTTCCTACAACTAAAATATTATAGAAAATTAATTTTTCCCTTAAAGATAGATATTGAAACAAGGTCATGTACAGATGTTTAGATAATGTGAGTTCTTTTCGCGAAGTTTCGCGTGAAAATGTGGGGGGAAAGTACGTGATGCTTTAGCCCACTCGTTTGTCAAGAGGAAACCATTTTGGAATTGCAAGAAACATATTGAAATAAGACGTACAACTCTTTTTTAAAGAAACTTTTTTGTTGTAAGGGCTAAAAATGTTCATTTCCGTCTGTATCTTGACATTAATTTTTTGCGACATTACATAACTTTCTTCATACTTCGAACACGAGAAAGTAAAAGAAGTATTTTTTACCCTCTTGCGAGTCGTTTTATTACAAACATTAAAGCATTATATTACCTTTGATTTAATGCAACTGAACTAACCTTCCTTCACTTTGGCTGTTTGAATTCTGCGTCTACGAATATTTGAATACGCCTTTCTGCTCTTAGTAGAATTTTTCTTGATTTTTCGTTATCAAGTTCCACATATTTCTTACTTTCTTTGCTGTTTGTCCGTTTAATTTAATAGATTGATATGTTTGCAATTTCATTTGACATTTTTGATAAAAGTTAATATTTTTTCGCACCGTTATTGCTGAAACTATGTCTTGCTTTCCTTTTTGGGGAGACAATATTTGAAACACTTAATTTCTAGTTATCTCGTTTACTTCTGCATGTGACGTTTTCGCAAAAATTTACTTATTGATTTAATGTCTATAATATTTGTTTCCATAGAACATAGCAATACGCGTATCCACAGAGTAAACTTACTTGAAGGAAAAGAAATGCATGTACCGTAAATTGCGTTGAGGGTTTTTGTTGTTATGTTTTCTTGTTTTTGCTGTTGTACAGCCCTGATTGGATGAAGTTTCAATAAATTGTTTGACTATATGTTTACAAAATAAATCAGAAAAAAAAGTAAATTACAAATAAATCATTGATAGAGTTACGAATGGCAAGAATAACAATGACGTTTCCTAGGAAGTCAGATGAAGAAAATACTCTACACTAATACACGGTACTCTGTAAATTTCAACGTACACATAAATCAAATTCAAACAAAAACATTTAACACAAAATAAGCTTTGACGGCCAGCGTCAGTGACTGAACTGTCCATAGGGCGTGATCCACGTGACGTCCTCCTTCCCGGCGTTTCGCCTTTAGCTGCAGCACAAGTCTGCAGAGGCGGGCTGGAGTGTCAG